CTGGGAAGAAGACAGAATTGCCTGCCGGCAAGATGCAGAAGAAGCATGGCATGTAGGAGATGAGGTAACAAGCCATGAGCCCCATGGTAGCACAGAAATTAATAGAAATGTGTTAATTCAAGTTATAAGAGCTAGTTAGAAACAAGCCTAAGCTATATGCCAAGTTTCATAATGTAATAAGTGTAGGGAAAAGGGGCTGGCTAAAGAAACCCACCCTGACTCTGGAGCCCAGAATTAGGGAAGGATGGCTCAGATAAGGCCAGTGAGAGAAGCACAGTTTATCTCAGATCAGAGCCATCTCTGCCCCTGTCCAACTGACTTGTGAAACCAACCAATCACAGACAGGACAGTAGAATCCTGGCCTTAGGACCCAGGACCAGGGAAGGAAACAGCCTGTGTTTAGGACCTGAGCCAGAGAAATGAACACTTTATCTCCAAACCCAGAACCAAGGAAATATGCCCTGACTCTGAAACCAGTACCAAAGAAACACTCTTGGTCCCTAGAATCAGAGTCAGCGAAAGAAATGTGCCCTGGCCTTAGGGGTAGTGTCAAAAAGCCAAGAAAGGTGGGCGGTGGTGGCACACGCCTTTAATCCCAGCACTTGGGAGGCGGAGCCAGGCAGATCTCTGTGAGTTCGAGGCCAGCCTGGTCTACACAGCAAGATCCAGGAAGGTGCAAAGCTACACAGAGAAACCCTATCTCGAAAAACCAAAAAAAAAAAAAGCCAAGATAGGCCAGTGAAAGAAACACAGTTTGGCCCTGAAATCAGGGCCATCTCTGCCCCTTGCCCACAAAACTGGCCAATCCCTGGGCAGAAAAAAAATCTAACCAATCACAGTTGACTCTGCCCCCTAGACATCCTATATAAACTGCCCTGCCTGGTCAGTTGTGGGCTGTTCTCTCCACCCTGGTAGAGGCAGCTACTCTCCTGGACTCCTCCTTCCCAAATAAACCTCTTTCTCAAAAGAGTATTGGGTGAAGACCTTCATTCACTGGTGCACAGAAGAACCTTGCTAAGACATCCCATAGTGGACTGACCATCATTGACCCTGCGGGAGACCATCCCCCCATCACATCAGGTGTAGCCTGACTTTCCCGAAGAGTCAGGATACCCTTCCCTGCTGAAGCAGTTCCAGGCCTGACTCTGCTGAGAAGTCAGAAGAATTTCCTTTCCAGAGTTGGGCTGTTTCTTTGCCCAGGACACCTTCAGGGCAGAGCTCTTGTTCTGAGCAGCTCGAGGTGTCCGGGATACCTCGCCCTCCAGGGCTGAACTGTCTCCTTGCAGTTTCAGCCATCACAGCTGTGCTACACAGATCCAGGTGTTGCCTGACTCCCCAGGTAGTCAGGACACCAAACCCACAGAGTTTCAAAACTCACGTTCTGCAACCAATTTACTAACATTTTTGGTGCCGAAACCTGGGGCACCAAACCCAGAGTTTTTTCAGTTTACTAAGTTTTTGGTGCAATTTACTAGCAATAAGTCTCCATGTTGTGATTTAGGAGCTGGCTGGCAGGACAGAAAAATCTGCTTACACAATTCCACATTCTGTTTGTTTGTTTGTTTTTTGAGACAGGATTTCTCTGTGTAACCCTGGCTGTCCTGGAACTTTGTAGATCAGGCTGGCCTCGAACTCACAGAGATCCACCTGCTTCTGCCTCCCGAGTGCTGGGATTAAAGGTGTATGCCACCAGATAGGGTTTCACATTCCTATATTCTTGAGGTAGGAATGTCTACTGGACTAATCATTTACCTCCTTAGTGTACCAAGGGTCAGAGTGCTCTAGAGGCAGAATGTGTTTCTTAGAAAAGACTGTTGACAATAATTATTATCGAGACAAGCTCACAAGTACAAGGCTAGCCTTGAACTTCTGATCCTCCTGTTCCACCTCCCAGCTGCAGTGGAACAATCTTTTTCTACACTATGAATATTTATTACTCTCATTGGTTATTGAAAAGCTGACAGGCCAGTAGCTGGGCAGGAAGTTAGGCAGAAAAGCCAAACTGAGAATGATGGGAAGGAGGAGTTTGGATTCAGGGGAAATGCCAGCAAGCTGCCCAGGAAGCAAGACATGCTAGCGGACAGGTAAATCCATGAGCCATGTGGCCAAATATAGATTAATAGAAATGGATTAATTTAAATGTACAAGCTAGTTAGTAATAAGCCTGAGCTAGCAGGCAAGCATTTACAAATAATATTAAGTCTCTGTGTGGCAATTTGGAAGCAGCTACCTGAATGGGGAGCAGGTGGTTGGGACAGGAAATGTCCGTTTGTTTGCACTGTGCCTTTGAAAAAACACACTTGGCCCCAGACCCATGAAGACTGTTGTAATTGACACCTTACACCCTGTTAGTTATGACATTTCACAGAACCCTTGTTTATTAATTCCCACACATTCCCAACTCACAGAGTATCTGCCACCAATTCACTTGGATATGATGCCCATTCACAAATCATTTGGTCTGGCTGGCACTGACACTTTTAAGTACACATAACTGACCCATTTGGGTCACTGTAGTTCTAAGTCAGCATCTAATACAGATCTTAAGTTTTGACTGTTTTCCCCTCACTAACCATTCCCATTTAGATAGGCATTTTTAACCCCAAATTGACTGGCTCAGCTTTCACCATGGTGTAACTTCTTTCCATCCAGAGAGCCAGTGCACAGACTCAGTAGCAACTTTGAGGTTGTCAGCCAACTTTCTGCAGCCTTTCCGCGGACAGGAGTCTGGGCATTCCGTGCGTTAATGAAGGCATGATGGTTGCACCTGCCTGGCAGCCACTTGATAACACGAACCATATTTAAAACTGTGCCGTACTACAAATCCTTTGCTAGGCAAGGAGATTTGGCTATTGTAGGGCAAGTGAAGTAGGTGCCCCTGCATCTCTAAACATAGTTACTCTTGCATTGTAGAAATCCAATGCTCCTTTCTCCATGAACATCATGGCGAGTCAGTCCCACACCCTAAAGCTGAGCTTTCTTTGTCTCCAATGCCAGGAGGTGGGGGTTGGTCACATATGTTTTTATGGGGTTTTGTTGTTGTTTAATGTATTTGTTTTTGTTTGTTTTAGACAGGGTATGATGTAACCTAGGCTGACCTTGAACTCTTGATCTCCCTGCTTTCACTTCCAAAGTGCTAGGATTACAGGTATGCTCCCCCATATTTGTAATCCCAGTCCCTTTTAGACTGGCACAATAGTTTAGCAAACTGTCTGAGACTCAGTAAAAACCATACAACTGAAGGCCAAAGAAAAGACTGACTACATGCATTAAAGACACCCCCAATTGGACGTCTTATTTTATAGGTGAATTATACAGCCATAGAATTGGAAGCCAAGAAGTTACCATGTGCAAAGAAAACATGAAAACCTAAAACTCCCGAAACTACTATTGCTTAGCCATGAGGAATTAAGGGAACATCAATGGTGTAGGCAGACTTTTCTGTTTCACCTGCCAGCTCCCAAATAACCACACAGAGACTTCTTGTTAATTATGAAAGCTTGACCAATAGCTTAGGCTTGTTCATAATGAACTCTTATAACTTAAGTTAACCCATATTTTTATTAATCCATGTTCTCCCATGTGGCTTTTACCTCTATCCCATTTTGTGTGTCTAACTCGTTCTGAATCTGTTTGGCTTCTCTGTCCTTCTTCCCAGCATTCTTTCTGCCCCCAAAATCCTGCCTAGCTATTGGCCATTTAGCTTTTTATTAAACCAATCACAGTGACATATCTTCACACAGTATAAAGGAATATTCCACAACACAATGGAATTGATCCAAAAGAGTTTTGCACCTTTATAAATAATATCAAGGTAGAGCAAGCTCATGAGTGACAAAGCCAGGGGCAGTAAAGGCTGGAGACCGGGAGAAACCACCCCCAATTGTGATGTAGGTCCTGGACATTGTGCACAACTGGCCATCTTGCCACAAATGCTGCAGTTTTAGTTCATAAGACTGCTCCTAAGTTACTTCTTTCCTCCATTATTATACAGGTCCCATGTTTGGTTACATATTATCCGTAGGGAAAGTAGAAAACAGAATCATCAGCACCATGTAACACAAATCTTAAAAGATCTTATTAATTAAAAAAAAAACTGGAGCCAGGTATTGAGGTGAAAGCTGGAAGATCAGAGAAGCAGAACAAGCCACAACCAACCTCACCTCACCAGCTCCTCAGCTGATCCTTAGACTGAAAGTCTGAGTCCTCACCTGGAAGAGTCATAGCTCAACTGCTTAAAAGCCTCTAGCTCCTGGTCCTCATGCTTATATACCTTTCTGCTTCCTGCCATCACTTCCTGGGATTAAAGGTGTGTCTCCTTCCCAAGCAAAGACCTGAGATCTTGAGTTCTGGGATTAAAGGTGTGTGCTACCATGCCTGGCTGTGTTCCCAGTATGGCCTTGAATTTACAGAGATCCAGAGGGATCTCTGCCTCTGAGTGATAGGATTAAAGGTGTGTGCTACCACTGTCTGGCCTCTATGTCTAATCTAGTGGCTGACTCTGTCCTTTGATCCCCAAATAAGTTTATTAGGGTACACAATATATTGGGATACACAACATAACACCACACCATGTCCTTCTCTTCCTTCTTTTGTTTTGAAGCAGAGGACAAGGTCTTGATATGTAGCCCTGACTTGACTGATAGGTAGCCCAGACTACTCTCAGACTTGTGGCATTCCTTCTGCCTTAGCCTCTGAAGTGCTGGAATTACAGAACTAAACCAACCTTGAATATAAACTCTCAAACATGAAAGAGTAGTCTTTTTTTGTGGGGATCTGGTGGGAGTGGGGTGGTGAAGAGTGAGGTGTGGGGGTGGGGCAGTGCTGGAGCTTGAACTCAGGACTGTGTAGCTCTACCACCATTACAAGCCTAGTTTCAGCTGGGTTGCCTCTTGAAGCTGATGTCCACTTTTTTCCTTAAGATGGTGAATGTGAGGACAGTAATGGCATGACTAGAGTAAAGAAGTGACTAATAAAAGCAAAAGCAAACACCACTGAAATGTCTTTTATCCTTTATTATGAAACAGTTTAGATAGGAAGATGGAGAATAAGCTCTAACCCAGACACCTACAAGCAACTTGAATTGGCTGTTTTTGTGGTGCCCCACGTTGGGGACCAAATGTAGCAACCTTTCTTGTCAGACTATCTTTGGTCTGACACACAAATAATGACCCAGAGACTTATTATGAAAGTTTGGTCTTTAACTTAGGCTTATCTCAACTAGCTCTTATAACTTAAATTAACCCATATTTTTAAATCTTCATTTTGCCTTGTGGCTTTTCACCTTTCTTTCATTCTGAATGTTTGACTTTTTCCATGTTTTGTTGGTGTCTGATGCATGCCTATGTTCATCTCCTACTTCTCTTCTCTCTGCCTGGAAGTCCTGCCTATACATCCTGTCTATCTGTTGGACGTTCAGCTCTTTATTAAACCAATCACAGTAACATATCTTCACACACTGTACAAATATCCCACAATTTTGCTTTGTTTTTAAATAAATAGTTTTTCTTTGCATTCTTTCTCAGTCTCATTTTTAGTTCTCCCCAGAGATCACCACTATTATGGATCTTGTGATTATTTCCATAAACACTTTTATGTTCTTCCTATATAGTATCTATTATGGAAAGTATATAGCATCTGACTTGTATGTTTTCAATCCTTGTGGTACTGTGTCATACAAAATACTCTCTAATTAAATATTATTATAGTTTTGGAATTTAACAATGTTGATGGAAATATCTCCATTGGCTAGTATAATTGGCATTCTAAATTAGGCCCACTTTTTGGCTACTTTCTTCATTGCTATAAATAGCACTGCAGTGGGCCTTCCATGTATATCTCATGAAACATGAAGACTTGTGTTTTTGTAGAGGGTTCAAGGCAGAATTACTGGGTTCAAGACAGTTCACATCCTCAACCTTATAAGATATTGCCAACTGATGCTGCAGACAACCACAACCATGAATATCCACAAGGCTCCACATCCTTCCAGTTAGTTTTTTTTTTTTTAAATGCTGGTTTCACTGTGTAGTCTTGGCTGCCTTGGAACTTGGTATGTAAAGCAAGCTGATCTCCAACCCATAAAGCTCTGCCTGTGTCTGCCTCTGACAGGTGTTCACCACTGTGCCTAGCTGCCAGCATTGATCTTAAAATAGCTCATTTTATGATGGTTTCATTTTGTACAACCCTTACTACTCATGACATATAAAATCAATTTTTCTAATCCCTCCAGGTCTACTTTTTGCTACCATCCTGAACCAACCTTTCATATGAAGTTTCTACAAATAGAGTCAATATGTTTCTTGCATTCTTTGGGATTTTCACTTGCCAGAAGCTTCCAGGGCATTGTATGAAATTAAAGGGTACAAGCATTCCACTGAGGAGTTGTAATGAATATTGTTGCAGAATATTTGTATACTGTGAATATTTGTATACTGTGAATATTTGTCTTTGTCAATGTACCTTCAGAATATTTGTCTTTGCCAATGTACCTTCTGATAGGTTTAAAAACGAGCTGAATGGCCAACAGCTAGTCAGGAGAGGATAGGTGGGATTTCTGGGGAGAGAAAAAGAGGAGGAATCTAGGCACTCAGATTTCACCAGCAGATTTGGAGCAAGTCAGGACGTGCCATAGTGAGGAAAAGGTAAATGCTATGGGGCATAACATAGATTAACAGAAGCATGTTTATTTGAGTCATAAGAGCTAGTTGGGGACAAGCCTAAGCTAAAGGCCAAGCTTTCGTAATTAATAAGAAGTCGCCATGTCATTATTTGGGGGCTGCCAATCCAAAGATAGTCCGACAAAAAGCTTGCTATTGAATATGAATTAGGAAGAACCACCAACTCCAATGAGTTTCCTGGGACTATGCTATAGCTTATGGTCCTTAGTTTATTTTCTTGTCATTTTTCTGTTTTCTGGGTTTTAAATTTTTTTTTTTTATTTTTTGAGACAGAGTTTCTCTGTGTAGTTTTGGCACCTTTCCTGGAACTCACTCTGTAGCCCAGGCTGGCCTCAAACTCACAGAAATATGCCTGCCTCTGCCTCTTGAGTGCTGGGATTAAAGGCATGCCCCACCACTGCCCAGCTTTACAATGTATTTTTTTTTAAGACAGGTTTTCTCTTTGTAATAGTCCTGACTGGCCTCGAACTCAGAGATCTGTCTGCATCTGCCTCCCGAGTGCTGGGATTAAGGTGTGCGCCACCATGCTGGGCAGAAAATGTATTGTCTTTATATCTAATTATTATTAACCCTTTCACACTCTGGAATTTAACTGAGGAGAATGTAGTATTCATGTTGCTCATGTCACATGCTTCAGGGTGTTTGAAGAGTAGTACTCAATTGTTACAGAATGAATGAAAATCTGTAGTTTTACTTTTGATTTCACTTTGGAAACCACTGGATAAAAGCTTAAAAACTATATTTTTTCTAAGTATAAAAAAATTGATATGTTTTCATACCAAATTAACTCATATAATTACTTAGGTTTAGTGTCTTTTGATGGGAACTACCCATTTCTGCTTTATGTTTTTAGAGTTAATTGTGAATTCTATTTTCCTGATCTAAATATAAGTGCTGAACACTTGCCAGTGAATCCTATCTTACTGGGTTAATCTACTCCATTCTCTTTAGAAACTTGGTAAAACACTAATAATCAATTATTGTTTTACTTCCTGTGTCTATAATAATGATTCACAGAGGATGGAAACTCCCATTTATGTTCTAAAATGTTTAAGTTTTCTCAGTTCTGATCAGATATTTCCCAAAGAGGTTCAACAAATCTTGTTTCAGTTATGAGAAGTAAATGAGTTCAAATATGCTAACTATACTGAACAGCGCCTGGCGTCTAGTATGCACCTAATTCATGTTAGGCATTACTATTTACTGAGTATCTGCTATAGTTGATGTCCGATGTTAAGTACTCTGCATGCAAATTTCTTATCTCAGTATGCATTAATTTTCAACAGACACTTTCATTTAATACATTTGCACAATACAGTAGCCTTTAATATCCCTATTTTAAGATTAAAATCCTAGGTTTAGATAAGTCAAATAAGTTGTTCAAACTCACACAATACCGTAGTAGGGGTAGAACTATGATTTCCCAGAATCTAAGCTCATAGTCTTAAGAAATATCTAGTGCCTAAAGGAGATGGGGATAAAATAAAGCTGAATGGTATGTTTCGACCAGACAATGAAAAGTCTTATATACAATTTTAAAGGGTCTTGATTAGTCTAAAACCACTAGCAATCAAAAAACAATTTTAGGTGGAGACGGTGATGCATTAATCCTTATACTTAACAAAATCTGCTAGGTGTGGTAGCACACAGTTGTAATCACAGCACTTGCACTTGAGGGGCAGAGGCAGGAAGATAATGAGTCGAGGACAGCCTTGGCTACATAGTGATTCTAAGGCCAGCTTGAGTTACACAAGATCCCACCTCAAAATAAAATCATTTTGGGTACATTATGGGAAAAGGATTTAAAGATAGTAATAATAAATACTGGAAAACCCATTCGAACAGTATAGCAGTGGTCAGCACTGAAGACAGAAAAGAACATACATTTCAGGAATATTTAGGAGATGGGATTTACAGGACTTGGTGACTTCCTGGATTGGGTGGCAAGTGACTCCCCAATGTGAACTCTTTGATGATGAGCGAGATGTGCATGTTGCCTGAAGGTTTTCTTGCATTCTTTACATTCATAGGGTCTCTCTCCTGTATGAATTCTCTGATGCTGGGCAAGGGATCCACAGTAACTGAAAGTCTTCCCACAAACATTACATTCATAAGGTTTCTCTCCAGTATGAACTCTCTGGTGCTGAGTAAGGGATGAGTCATTGCTAAAAGCCTTCCCACACTTAACACACTCGTAGGGTTTCTCCCCAGTGTGAACTCGTTGATGCTGAGCAAGGTAGGCAATCTGGCTGAAGGCCTTCCTGCATTCCTGGCATTCATAAGGTTTTTCTCCTGTATGAATTCTCTGATGTTGAGCAAGGTGTGAATTTTGGCTGAAGGCCTTGCCACATTCCTTACATTCATAGGGCCTCTCCCCCGTATGTATTCTCTGATGCACAGTAAGGTATGCACGGAGGCTGAATGCTTTTCCACAGACCCTGCACTCATAAGGTTTCTCTCCTGTGTGAACCCTCTGGTGCTGAGCAATGGATGACCTATTGCTAAAGGCTTTTCCACATTCCACACATTCATAGGGTTTCTCTCCAGTGTGAACTCTCTGATGCTGAGCAAGGTAGGCAAACTGGCTGAAGGCCTTCCCACACACCGCGCACTCGTAAGGTTTCTCCCCAGTGTGAACTCGCAGGTGCTGGACCAGATGTGCATTCTGACTGAAAGCTTTCGCACATTCTTTACACTCATAGGGTTTCTCTCCGGTATGAATCCTGTGATGCTGAACAAGGTTTGATCTCTGGCTGAAGGCTTTCCCACATTCTATACATGTGTAGGGTTTCTCTCCAGTATGAATTCTTTGATGTAGAGTAAGGGAGGAACTCTGGCTAAAGACTTTCTCACAATCGTTGCATTTCAAAAGTTTCTTCTCTGTGTAGATACTCTTGGGCTTAACAGTCTTCAAGCTTTTCTTCAAGCTTTTCTTGTGTGTGCCTTGTTTATACACATTCTCCTCTGTGGGGGCTGTCTGTTGTACATGAAGCAATGTGTTCTGACAGAAACTTCCCCAGGACCTGTTATCAACCAGAGCTTCAAAAGTGATGGTCTCTTCCTTGAAATACGCTTTTAGATTCTCAGATTGCCTCTCAAAATGCTGCTCATGGCTCCATTCTCCCATCAACCTGGGATACTCAAGGCCAATACTTCTAAGTTCTTCTATTATCTTTCTGGATGACTGTTCTTCATAAAGTTGCTGCTTTGGGATTAATTCTTCAGTCACATACATAGACTCCCAGTCTAAAAGTAATAAGAAAAAGTGTCTTCTTTATTATTTATCCAGAAAATATGGTCATGAATGTACATTTGTAAAGTGAAGTATGTAAACAGTATCAAAATCCAAAAGAACACTTAATACTTACTTTCACAGTTCTGAAGTATGTTACAAACTGAAAATTGGCTATAAACATACATGAAGAGTGATTAGAACTTCATGAAAATCAGTAAGGCAAGTCAGGGGGTGAGAAGGAACTGATTGGGACTGGACGTGGTTGTGAGTATAGATACTGGGATAGCCTGCATTCTCATAACTGCTTCAGTGAAGGACATTCATTGAAGATAATTATCTGACATCAGACGCTCTTGTGGGTGCTTTCAGTGTCGTGAGACAACGATCATTGCCTTCACTGATCTTATTTTCTTAGAAGAGACAAAAATAAGCAAGGAAATTTGATTGCATGTTAAATGTACTCAGCGCTACAGAAAAAGGAAAGGGTAGGCTGTCATGTATCTGTACACAGAGGTCTTCAAGGTCCTAAAATGGCATTGACAATTTTATATTTATTTTATGTTTTACTTCATTATAAGTTGTATTTCTATAAAATAATCAACAATAAAAATTTCTCTTACCTTGTTTAAAAATATTTCACTGTTAAATTTATTTTGCTTGGCATTGGTGGCACGTGTTTAATCCCAGCACTCGGGAGGCAGAGGTAGATGGATCTCTGAGTTTAAGGCCAGCCTGGTCTACAGAGAGTGAGTTCCAGGACAGCCAGGGCTACACAGAGAAATACTGTCTTTAAAAAAAAAAATCTGTTTTGTGTGCATATGTGTGTTTGCATGCACACATGCTCGTGCCATGTCATTTGCCATGTGGATGTTAGAGGACAATTTGCTAGAGTTGGTTCTCTCTGTCCACCATGTGGGTCCTAGTGATCAAACTCAGGATGTCAGGCCTAAAAGTAAGTGTTGCTACCCACTGGGACATCTCACCAGCTCCCGTTGTCTATTTCTGTTTTAGAAGGAACTAAATGGGGTTTTGTTCTAGTTAAACTTCATATAGGGGATGGAGAGATGGCTCAAGTGATTAAGAGCACTTACTGTTCAGAGGACCCAAAACTGGTTCCAGGCACCCAGGCTTACAACTGCCTATAACTCCAGCTCCAGGGGATGCAATGTCTCTGTCCCCTTGGGCACTTTCACACATGTACACACACACACACACACACACACACACACACACACACACAGTGGTGGTTTGAATGAGAATGGCCCCCACAGGCTCATATATTTGAGTGTTTGATCCCTAGTTGGTGGAACTGTTTGGGATGTATTAGGTGTGGCCTTGTTGGATTAATGTTTTTTGTTTTTTTGTTTTTTTTTTTTTTTTGGTTTTTCGAGACAGGGTTTCTCTGTGTAGCTTTGCGCCTTTCCTGGTACTCGTTTTGGAGACCAGGCTGGCCTCGAACTCACAGAGATCCGCCTGGCTCTGCCTCCCGAGTGCTGGGATTAAAGGCGTGCGCCACCACCGCCCGGCGGATTAATGTTTTAAAAGGGGGTGGACATTGATGTTTCAAACCATATTATTCCCAGTTCTCTCTCCCTCCCTCCCTCCCTCCCTCCCTCCCTCCCTCCCTCCCTCCCTCCCTCCCTCTCTCTCTCTCTCTCTCTCTCTCTCTCTCTCTCTCTCTCTCTCTCTCCACGCTTGTGGATCAGATGTAAGCTATTAGATACTGGTTCAGCAACAATGCCTCCCTGCCTGTTGCCATGATCCTTGCCAAGATGGTCATGGATATTGTGGGATATTTGTGAACCCCGAGATTGCATTAATTAAATCCACCATAGGTCGAGAGGCGGAGCAAGGAACCAGTTGATTGGAAGTAACCACAGAGTGTGAAGGGAAGTCAGGAGGTTGGAGAAAGAGAGGCACAGGAAGGAAAAGGGAGGGACATCCAGTTCAGACAGACTAGGAGAGACTCTCTGAGACTATGGCTGAGGAGGAAGTTCAGCCAGCTGCTTTCTCTGTTTCTCTGAGCTAGCAGGTTTCTACCCCAGCATCTGGCTCCCAAGTCTTTATTGGTAAAATAAAAGGACAGAGACTTAGTTAGAACAACATTTGTCTCTCTACAGGGAGGCAGTTGAAGCAGCAGTGGGGTGTGAAGCCCTCCCCACCCCCACCCCGCCCCGCCTGTGACCTTGAGGCAGTGGTAGTCGCTGAGCAATAGCTATGAAAACAACACATGGACTTAACCTTTGAAGCTGTAAGCCCTGAGAAACTTTCTTCTATCTATGACTTGACTTGATCATGGTGTCTCCTCACAGCAAGAGAAAAGTAACTAAGACACACACACACACACACACACACACACACACACACACACGCGCGCGCGCGCGCGCGCGCGCGCGCGCGCACACATGGGCACACACGGGCACATGCACACACAAACAAAAGTTTAAAATAATTTCTAAACTCCATATATGTAATAACGGCTATTTATGTGAGTGATTCTTTAATAATAATGCATAAAATTTAATTCTGTATCATTTGATACTGCAGTTACCCATCAAAATTTCTTCTCAGAACATTGAACGTATACATAAAACACTGGCTGAGGCAGTGTGGGATATGGGGTTGAGAGAGGCAAAACTTTAGTCCTTCATTGTTCCTCGGTGTTTCCTGTCTGTCTGCAAATCCTTCCACGCCACAGACCTAAGCTCTTTCTCCTCCGCTCCTCAAGTGTTCTCCAGCTGCTTATCTTTGCTTTTGTTAAAGACTGTTGTCTTCCCAGCTACCCACATTCGCTGTCTCCTGCCTGTTCTCTGGGCTTCCTTTATGCCGAGCTTTCTTTCCATATGTGCCACCTGCAGCTTTATCATTTCTTTATGGCTAGCCTAACAATTGTTGGATTATTTGTACACACATGTAACACTCTAGGGCCTTGGGCTGGGGAGCGAGGTAGGAGTGGTGTTGAAAGAACCATGTTTAAAGCACGAGTTGAGTAATGTTGGTATTGATTAGAGGAAAAAGAATGAATGAACTGACAGAGAAAGATGAGGCATTTAGAGAGAAACCACTACTTCTAATGGAAGGGAACAGCGACTGAGTTCACACTGTACAACAGAACAGTTCAAGGTACTTCCAAAGTATTGTTTTAGAGATGACAAAACAAAGAGAGATTAAGCAACTTTCCTAGAATTTCACTACATGTAAGAATCAGGATTTGAACCTGGTACTTCATTTACTGTCAGTATGGCCCCAGAGCTTGTCAACTCAGGAAAAGACCATTTAATTTACTTGTTTTGTTTTTGTTGTTGTTTTGTTTTGTTTTTTCCAGACAAGGTTTCTCTGTGTAGTTTTGGTGCCTGTTCTGGAACTCACTCTGTAGACCAGGGTGGCCTCGAACTCACAGAGATCTGCCTGGCTCTGCCTCCCGAGTACTGGGATTAAAGGTGTGTGCCACCACCACCCGGCCAGGAAAGGACTATTTAAATACTAGAAGGGAATTATAAAGAAGCATCAGGAGTCAGAAAACAAATGAAATGAGTCATTAGGAAGAAGAAGGCAATGCATGAGGAGAGTAAGGTTGGCCAATAGGGGAAAATATCCTGGAAGGCCCCAAGTTTCTTTTAGGCCCAAAACATTTGGGAACATGCCACAAAAAAAAGAACCAAGAGACATTTTCTTGAGTCGGGTTGAGCTTCAGAGGTCTCTGCCTATCTATTTATCCCCCACTCACCTGTGGACAAACTGTCTGTCAGCTCTGTCTTCACTGTCCATGGCTCTTTTCCTTGTTCCAACAAGAATATCACACTTGGCTTAGAAAAGCAAAGGCCTGAAAATGTGGAAAGAAATGACTTGGTTATGCTAAGGGCAGCCCACAACTCCCATCTGGTATCAGCCACACTGCAGGGCAGGCCCCATGCCGAGGAGGAGCTGGCCAACATAAAATAAATGCAATGTCAGTTTTGTTTCCTTTTGTTTGTTTGGCTTTGTTTTTTCTTATTGGTATTTTACCTGTTTGTTTTTATTTTTGTTTTTGTGACATTTTTGTTGTTGCTGTTGGTAGTTTCTTGGTTTGTTTTCTTTCTTTCTTTTTTTTTTTTTTTTTTTTTTTTTTTTTTTTGGTTTTTCGAGACAGGGTTTCTCTGTGTAGCTTTGCGCCTTTCCTGGAACTCACTTGGTAGCCCAGGCTGGCCTCGAACTCACAGAGATCCGCCTGGCTCTGCCTCCCGAATGCTGGGATTAAAGGCGTGCGCCACCACCGCCCGGCTCTTTCCTTCTTTTTTGAAAGAGAGAAAGTATAAAGTTGAGTGTGTATGAAAGAGGGGAGGATCTAGGAGGAGTTGGGGAGGGGAAACCATGATCAAAATATATTGTATAAAAATGTTAATAATAAAAGAGTACCTGGGGCTGAGGAGGTGGCTCAGTCAGAAAAGAACCTATGTAAAAAGCATGGTGGCACACATCTGTAATCACAGTTATGGGCAACAGAGACAAGCAGATGCCTGAAGCTCACTGGACAGCCAGTGTAGCCAAATTAGTGAGGTCCAAGTTCAGTGAGAGACTGCATCTCAAAAAAGGTTTGGCTGGTGAGATGGTCAACAAGTGAAGGCACTTGCTGAAGGAGAATGATGCCCTGAATTTGATCACTAAGACACATGTGGTAGAGAGAACTGACTCTTACAAGTTGTCTTCTGACCTCCATGAGCCTGTGCCAACGCACAATAAATAAATATTTTAAAAGCTCTCCTATTCAAAAACTGTTAAAAAACAGAATTTGAAACTACTGGCACAGGTCAATGACAGGGCTAACTGCTATTAACGCCATGTGATTTTCACTACGGCAGACACTCACCCAAGCTTTGGAGACGTTACCAAAATAGTCACAATGACAGTAGCAAAGTCCCTTATGAGCAGAAGTACCATTTTGCAAGAGAAAGATATCCTTCCTGTCTTAGTTAGGGTTGCTATGTTAGGGTTGCTGTGATGAAACACTATGACCAAAACAACTTGGGGAGTGTGGTGGTTTGAATAAGAATGGCCCCCATAGGCTCATATATTTGAATGCTTGGTCATATGGGAGTGGCACTATTTGAGAGGGATTAGGAGGTGATACAGGCGGACTTTTTTTTTCCTGCCAGCCAATTCCCAAATAACCACACTGAGACTTATTAATTATAAATGCTTGGCTGATAGCTTAGGTTGTCTCCAGCCAGCTCTTTTTTTTATGTTTTCAAAGTCAAACATATATTTTAGATAGACAGGTCATCTTCAAACACTTCAGAGATCTATAGACTATGGCATTTAAGATGTTTTCATAATATAGATTCTTTTTTTATTACGATGAGACATGTCTGCTCCTGGCAGCATCAATCTACTTCAGAGAAGATGATGGGTATTAAAGAAAACTCCAGCCTGGTGGTAGTGTCCAGCCCGCTCTTACAACTTAACTTACCCATTTCTATTAATCTATGTGCTGCCCCGAGGCTCGTTTACCTCATCTATGAGCTTCCCATGTTGCTTCTTCCATGTCTGGTTCGCGACTCCTCAGATCCCACCCTCCTTCTTTCCAGTATCCTCTCTGCCCCGAAAATCCTGCCTAGCTATCATCCAATCAGCTTTTTATTAACAATGAGAGCAATACATCTTCACAGTGTACGGAAGGATTATTCCATAGCAAAGTGAGGCCTTGTTGGAGGAAGTGTGTCACCTAAGTGGGCCCTGGGGTTTCAAAAGCTCAAGCCAGGCCCAGTGTCTCTTCCTTCCTGCTGCTTGTGGCTATGGATATAGAATTCTCAGCTACTTCTCCAGGACCATGTCTGCCTGTGTGCCACCATGCTTCCTGCCATGATGACAATGGACTAAACCTCTGAAACTGTAAGCCAGCCCCAGTTAAATGCTTTCCTTCATAATAGTTGACATGGACAACAATAGAACACTGACTAAAATGGAGGAAAAGGTTTATTAGGCTTACACTTTCACATTGTAGTTCATCACTGAAGGAAGTCAGGGCAGGAGCTCAAACTGGGCAGGAACCTGGAGGCAGGAGCTGATGCAGAGGCCATGGAGGGGTGCTGCTTACTGGCTTGCTCCTCATGGCTTGTTCAGCCTGCTTTCTTATAGAACCCAGGACCACCAGCCCAGGGATGACACCACCCACAATGGGCTGGGCCCTCCCCCATCAATCACTAATTAAGACTACGCCCTGCAGCTTGATCTTATGGAAGCATTTTCTTAATTGAAGTTCTCTCCTCTTAGATGACTTCAGATTGTGTCAAATTGACATAAAACTATCTAGTATACTTACCCAGAGACACCAAGATCCTATAGTTCTCCAACATCACATGACTGTACAAATGCCTTTGAGAAGAATTCAGACAATCCCATTCTTCCTGGGAGAAGTCAACTGCCACATCTCTGAAGGTCACCATCTCCTGAAGTGAAAGAAATGAAAGGGAATAATCTCCCCTCTCTCCATGTTCACCTCATTTACTCAGCACGGGGACAGGGGCTCTCCCTGATATGAAACCCCCAAATATGTCAGCCATGTTCCCTCTCAGGGCCTCTGTATTTCTCATAACATTTTGAACAGTGCTTCTATATAGTGGGAATCTAGCAGAGTCATTGTATCTTTTCATTCATTAGAGTGAAATAGCTGTTTCTTACTGTATCTAGCAACATTAGAATGAAATAGTTGGAGGTTCTTAGACCTTGAAGAAATCATAGTAGAGAACAGTGATTGTTTTCTGTGAGTTATGGAGTTGTTTTTGGGAGGGAATTTTCCATCTGTTGCATGACTGTGGTCACAAGACCATCCTGGCACACTTACAGCACCTTGAATTACTGGGTACTGCAAACAGTGCACAATGAGGACTGTGATGATTTCCTTCAAAGAACATATAGAATAGATCAAAGAGGCTTTGATAGGAGGAACTTGTTTTACACAAAAAACAACCTTTGTGTAACAATCAATAATACGCTCTGAACAGCGGTTCAAGGCTCAGTCTATCAGAGGCTGGACCTCCCTGCTGCCAGAGAGCCTAAATTACATTCTAGAGTGACTCTCCTTTGATCATCCTGTACAACCCAGACCAACGACACTCCTACCTCAATTCCCTACTCCCCTACCTATGCATGCTATATTTACTTATAAGTTATGTATAGGAGTGTTTGGCTTACATGTGTGTCTGCACCTCACGTGCACACAGTGCCCTCAGCGGCCAGAAGAGGGTGTTGAATACCCTGGAACCAGAGTTACAGATGGTTGTGAGCAGTAATGTGGGTGCTGGAACTGAACGCCAGTCCTCTCTCTGCAAGAGCAGCCAGTGCTCCCAACCGCTGAGTCCTCTCTGCAGCCCCAGATCAGAGGTGGGGTGCTGAGGTTTGAACCCAGGACTTTGCACGTGCTAAGCAAGGCTCTTCAGTGAGCTACATCCTCAGCTCTGTATTTTACTTTTGAGACAGGGTTTCATGTATCCCAGGCTGGTCTCGAATTCTGTGTAGCAGAAGATGACCTTGAACTCCTGATCCTCCTGCCCCCACCTGTCAAGTGCTAGGATTACCATCACACCTGGATTTTGAGGTCCTGGGTTTAAGCTCAGGGTTTAGCGCATGCTAGGCAGACACTCAGCTGAGCTGCAGATCAGCCCTCTGCCTGATTCATGTATTGCCTGTCCCCTCCCCTGTGACTGAAATGTAAGCACCCAAGGGCAGCATGTTGCTTTGGTCACTGCTGAATCCCTGGTGTCGAACAGGACTGATACTCATGAGACACTCAAATACTCACTGGATCAGCCAGGTGCGGTGGTGCACGCCTTTCATCCCAGCGGTCGGGAGGCAGAGGCAGGCGGATCTCTTGAGTTTGAGGCCAGTCTGAGTTCCAGTACAGGCTCCAAAAGCTACACAGAAGAAATCGTGTCTCAAAAAGCAAAACAACAACAACAAACAAGATAAATAAACAAACAAAAGCACTCACTTGACCATTTAAATGAATGAATGAAGGGTTGACCATTTCAACAAGCTCGAGGGGCTAAAAAACAGTCCACAGTTACTTGCTCGGCTCTGAAAATTGTGCTAGGCAGGGCACAGGATACTGTTTTTGTGTAGAGAAATGGCAGTTTCCTTCATAATTTTGCTTCTATCTCCAGGGGCAGGGCAAAGTTCTTAAAAATCTGGAGCTAAGCTATGGTTCATTTGCACTACAGGTTTCTTTATGTGACCACTTGCTGATGAACCTAATATGTTACGTGTATGTGTTTTGAAATACAATTTAATACCTTACAAAAGCAAAAGATGTGACCTGTTTGTCAGGGACCAAACATGGACCATGGAAAAGTACTAGCTAGGCCAGAGAACAAGCCCCTGCCCTAAACCAGATGCCCCCAAAGATAAAGAACAGGTCAAGCAGGTCAGGTAGCATAGCAACAGAACAATGGGCCCTGACCAGTGTGACCTTACCACCTAGCAGCCTCACGACTTGCACGTAGTCCTTCACCTGCACGTCCCCCTTCACCTGCACGTACGGCACATCGTGCACCCCTTCCCTCCTTCCCCTCCCCCTCCCATGCTATATAAGCCTTGCTGAGAATAAAATTTGCAGCTTGATCAGAACACACTGTCTTGCTGTCTTTTCTCATGTCTCCCGTCCCTTTCATTCTCTCCCATAGGTGGGTTCCCCGCCCCCGTGCCCCCCCCCCATTGACACCCCGCTGGCCGGGGCACCTGTTGTCAAAGCAATATAAAAGGATGTGACTTCTTTTACATTTTATATGGGGTGTGTGTGTGTGTTACTTAAAATCAAACGAAGGACCTTGTGAATGCTAAGCAAATCCACCGCTGAACTGTATCCCTTGTCTTCATATTTGATTCAATTCTGTTCCCATAAAAACACAACAGGTTGGGTGTGGTGGTGCACACTGTTAATCCAGCACTCAGGAGGTAGAGACACTGAGTCTGAGGCCAGCTTGGTCTACATAGCCAGTTCTAGGACAGCAAGGGCAACAAATAAAGACCCTGTCTCAAAACAACAACAACAATAAAAATGCAAGAAAACAACAACCAAAGGCCTGTCTCAAGCCAGGCAGAGCAGCACAGGCCTGTAATCGTAGCACTCCAGGGGCAGAAACAGGACAGAGAGATTATGGTCAGCTGGATACATAGAAGATCTTGAGTCAAAACACCAAGGACTGGAAGTGCAGCTCGGTGGCACAGCCCTCACCTAGGGTAGGAAAGGCACTGGCTTTATTGTTCAGCATTTAGGAGGCTGAAGCAGGAAACTTCCAAGTTCCAGGTTAGCCTGCCGCACATAAAAAAGACCTTGTTTTTGTTGTTGTTTAGGAAGAAAGGAAGAGAAACTGTCTCATTGAAACGAAAGGACTCCCGAGGCCCTCATCACTCAGGAGCAATCCTTCTCTTATTTAACTACACAAAGCTGGAAGTGAACCGCTCCCACTTTGCTTTTGCCAATGTTTGGCTGGTGAGGTATATATGCTCGGTCTATATAAAACCACATAATAAAAAAGAAAGAAAGGGATGAGGGGTGGCTCAACAGTGAAGGGCACTTGTTGCTCCTGCAGAGGACCCAGGTTTGGCCCGTGCACACACTCCATGAAGCTCACAGCTGTGAGTAACTCCTGTTCTAGGGGATCCAGCACCCTCTTCTGACACTGGGGACACTGCATGCACATGGCACACATACACACATGCAGGCAAAACACCTATATACATAAAATAAATAAATTCATATACAATGATGCATATATGACATACATAGTTTTTCAATTCTTTTTTAAGATTTATTTTTTATTGTGTGTATATGTTTGTGTGTGAATATGAGTGCAGGTGCCTATGGAGGCCAGAACAGGGTGTCATAAATCTCTTAGAGCTGGAGGACTGGCAGTTGTGAGCAGCCTGACATGGGTACTGGAAACCATACTTAGGTCCTCTGCAAGAGCACTATATGCTCTTAACTGCTGAGCAATCCTTCTAGCCCTCACCATCTTTTCTGCAGGTTGTTAGCTTATATAAGCAACAGAATATAAACACAAGGTCAGCTGCAGACATAGCTTATTGGTAAGAGTGCTTGCCTCCCATTTACAAGGGCCTGGGTTTGATCGATAGCATTGCATTTTTAAAAAGAGCTTCAATTCCAAATTAAAAATGAATTTGACCCCTAACAAATGATGACAATGTACTTAGCCTCTATATTTACATGGCCTACACATGTAGAGTCAACTGTGATCAAAATATTAGAAGCAGCTGGGCATGGTGTGTAACATGGTGTGTAATCACTGCACTCAAGAGGCTGAAGCAGGAGAATTTCAAGTTTAAGGAGCCAAACACTGTCAGAGAGAGTGGGTGAAACAAACGTAAGGAGCAGAAAGAATGGAAGGAGAAAGCCGAGCCAGGAGGATACAGCACCAATCCACACGAGAGATGACGGTTCAGAACAGAACAGCAGCAGGGTCGGGAGTGGAAAGCAGGCTGATTCTAGCTTTGTTTGGAAAGTAGAACAAACAGCCCCCTGATGGAAGAGTATGAGCTCCCTAGTTCCCTGGTCTATGTCCCTGTTTTATCCTCAACCCATTCCGTTTACTATCAACAGTGGAAGACGGATCCTACGAAAATGAGGATCAGATCATGACACTCTCCACTCCTGAATTTTACTCAGTTTGAAAGATGTTTGCATTTGAGATAGCTACTATGCAACCACATGAACATGTTCAGTAGGCAGTCAGAGATGAAAGTCAGGTTCAGGAATGAGATCTATGCTGTGGAATAATCTTTCTGTACACTGTGAATAGAGATTACTCTCACTGGTTAATAAAAAGCTGACAGGCTTGTAGCCAGGCAGGAAGTTAGGCGGGAAAACCAAACTGAGAATGATGGGAAGAGGAAGGGCAGAGCCTAGAGTTGCCAGCCAGATGGAGAATGAGTGGGACACACAAAATGGGATAGAGGTAAAAGCTACGAGCCTTGGGGCAGCACATAGATTTATAGAAATGGGTTAAGTTGTAAGAGCTACTTAGTAACAAGCCTGAACTACTGGTCGAGCATTTGTAATTAATATAAGCCTCAGTGTGTCTATTTGAGAGTGGCTGCAGGACAAGAAAACTCCTTCTACAGATCTAGCCAGTATAGTAGTGTACACCTTTAGTCACAGCACTCAGAAGGCAGAGGCAGATGGAGCTTTGTGAATTCAAGGCCTGCCTGGTCTATGCAGTGAGACTCTCCATATCAAAACAAGCAAGCAAACAAGCAAACAAAGGTTTAGATGTATAGTCTGGTAATTGTGGTCCTACAAATAGTGTTTTAAGCCATGCTACAAGCTGAGATTGCCAGAGCAGTGAGTGTAAATAAAGGAGCAAGAGACCCAAGAGTGGGCTGGAGAGATGGCTCAGAGGTTAAGAGCACCGACTGCTCTTCCAGAGGTCCTGAGTTCAATTCCCAGCACCCACATGGTGGCTGACAACCATCCGTAATGAGATCTGGCGCCCTCTTCCGATTACATAATAAATAAATAAATCTTAAAAAAAAAAAAAAAGAGACCCAAGAGTAAGTCCTGTGGTACCCAATGTCAACAGGCACTTAAAATCTGTTGATGCATGAATGATGTTTGGGAAGTAACTAGAATTAAGCTGGACTTTATCTTATATATGACAGAATAGCATGCCAGGAAGAGGGGACAGTATGTGTAAGATCACATATTAAAAATGTATATAGCATTGCATGCCTTTAATCCCAGCACTTGGGAGGCAGAGGCAGGTGGATCTAGGTGAGTTCAAAGCCAGTCTTGTCTATACAGTGAGTTCCAGGACAGCCAGGGCCACACAGAGAAACCCTGTCTCAAAAAAAAAAACAAAAAAAAACATGTATATAGGGCTGGGGAGGTGGACCATAGTAAAGAGCATTGCTATGCTCTTAACTGATTCTAATTCAGTTTCCAGCATCCAGGTTAGGCAGCTCATACATGCCTGTAACTCTAGCACCAGAGGATCGGACTCCCTCTCCTGGCCTCTGTGGGCAGTTGCACACACCTGCCACACACTCACACAGATAAACACATGTGCACTTAAAAAATCTTTTGAAAAAGATTTTTTAATTGTATTTAAAAATTTTAAGGATAGTAGTGAGCTGACTGAAAGAGAGTCACAGAGTGAAAGAAATTAGATGAGTTCAAATGATATAGCCAGGAGTACTGGGAATCCACTGGAGGACTTCGGGACAACTCAAAGAGAGAATATACCAGCTCACCTGACACACGGTTTTAAGAAGCCCGGGAGCCTTTCTTTTTTCCCCCTCAACTCTTCTCTTAAGAAATGGCAATCCCAGGTAACTGAGATGGGAAAAGAACACGAGAAACTAGATGTTCCTCTCAGCATCCAGAATTGCCTACCATTTTAGGGTTTTTTCCCCCTCCTGTTTCAACTTTTCCTCCAATAAACAGAGCATGATGGAGAGCTAGCAATTTGTTTGCATACAATATAATCCATGGCCTAAGTTATTTCCAATTTATTACTTGGGCAGCAAATACACAGAGTTAACAAAGAGAAATGCGATAGTTTAAAGATACACCTCGAATAAATGAGTAAGATTAAATAGAAGACTAATTCAGAAACTTGATAGCATACTGTCACCACTTGGATAGCTTGAAAAGACACTGGGTGACAGTCTCAGGACCCTCACATACCCAAAGCCTCAAAGACTACATTGCCAGCCACTGTCACACATATGCCACAGTCAAGGCCCTGGGTGTAGTATCAAATGTTCACCCTCTCCTACACCCCCGATTCTCACATGGTCAGGTGCCACAGTCTGGCATCACTAACAACGGTCCCACACTCTAGTCACAAAGAGGCTGCACGTCCGTGCACAAGGGGGAAAAGAGAAAGGTACCAGTCGTGGATTCACTCGCACCCTGTCACAGAGCCGACGTGGACTCGCACATCGGGTGACAGTCTCGCCGTACCGTAACAAACACTGTCTTATTCCGAGGGGCACTCAGAGGGTCTGACGACCGGTGTCCGGGAGACGCGCGCTGGCCACTGCCCGGCCCACTCCGCGCCGGCAGAACGAACTGCGGGGAGGTCCCGTTTCTGCCCGGAAGGCTCTGGAATCTCCTCCACACCCGCAGCCCTTTGGTTGACGAAATCTAGCCTCAGGGGAAAGGGCCCGTAAAGAAGCGACTCTGTTGCCTGGGCTCCTGGAGGACACAAAGGGGCGACGGCCCAGTTCCCGCTGGGGCCATTGGGAAATGTAGTCCGGACAGAAAGGGCCATCAGCACCACGGAGTTCCGCTGCACTGACAGGCTCAGTCTCACTGGCTTTCCGCGGCCAAACCACATGTATGCGGATATCCATGCAAGCAGAACACCAATGCACGTGAAATAATTTGAAAATGTATTTTTTATTTTTACTTTGTGTGTATTTTTGCCTGCATTTATGGATGTGCACCACGAGCATGTCTGGTGTCAGGAGAGGCCAGAAAAGGACGTCAGTTCCCAGAGTGGTCTTAATTGCTGAGCCGTCTCTCTAGTCCCTCCATAGATCTTTTTGCTGGATGGAACCCAGGTCCTCACGCATGCCAGGCAAGCGCTTTGCCACTCAGCCACGCCCTCCGTATCTTTTTGATCTGACTCTATACTTCATCTGAACACATAGCATTTTTTTCTTCAGGAAAAATTTCTTTCACAGTTGTGATTTTGAGAATAAATACCAGACTCTGTGTGTGTGTGTGTGTGTGTGTGTGTGTGTGTGTGTGTGTGTGTGTGTGTGTGTTTCTCTGAGTGTAACTGTGGAAAACACAATGTGTTAGGTTAGCCATACATTTCTGTGATCACATGTGTGATTGTGTTCATTGTATGATATTCATGATGTTTAAATGTGCTGTGATAGGAACAGATTTTTGGGGAGTGCAATGGGACCATTGTGACAGAGGTTGAAGGATTAATATAATGGATATATATTTGTGTATGGAATTCTTCTCTGTGGTGTCTGATTAGAAAAGCCAATACTGTATGGGAGAAGCTATTTGAGGTACTGGGATAAACAGAAAATAAAAGTAAAAAAAATATGGACTAATGCTGGGCATTGTGGTATATACCTTTAATCTCAGTACCTGGGAAGCAGAAGCAGGCCAATTTCTGTGAGCTTGAGGCCTGTAAATGGACGTTTCCTGTCCTGCCTGCCCAGTTCCAAATAAACACACAGAGGTTTATATGAATTATAAGTGCTCGGCCAATAGCTCAGGCTTGTTAATAACTAGCTTTTACATTTTAAGTTTACCCATATTTGTACTTATGCTTTGCCACATGGTGGTACCTTTATTAGCATGGCACGTTCATCCTCTGCTCCCTCTGCATCTGACTGGTGGCTCATCTCTCTGCCCTTCTTCTTCCCATCATTCTTAGTTTGGCTGCCCTGCCTATACTTTCTGCTTGGATACTGGCCAATCAGCATTTTATTAAACCAATTCAAGCGACAAATCTCTACAGCATACAAGAGGATTATTCTACAACAGAGGCCAGTCTGGTCTACACGCAGTGAGCAATGGCAAATTCAATAACAATAACATTAGGCAAGGAAAAAAAGAAGTAAACTATTGCTTAGAGTTCTATGCTCTATATGAAGTAAAATAATGTTGCTTAAATACTATGGTTAAGGAAATATGTACACTATAATACTCAAGCAAGGCCTGGAGAGACGACTTAGTAGTTAAGAGTATTTGCTGCTCTTGAAGAGGACTTGTGTTCAATTCTCAGCAATCATATGGAGTGACCCACAACCACCTGTCACTCCAGTTCCAGGGAATCTGGTGCCATCTTCTGGTCTCTCTGTGAACTGCATGCACATGGTGCAGCGGTACTTACAGGCAAAATTCTCATACACATAAAATAGAAATAAATAAATCTGGCCCAGCAGTGGTAGCACACATCTTTAATCTCAGCACTCAGGAGAGAAAAAAAAAAGGCAGATCTCTGTGAGTTAGAGGCTGGCCTGATCTATAGAGCGAGTTCCAGGAAAACTAAGATTACACAGAGAAACCCTGTCTCAAAAAGTGGAGAGAGAGAGAGAGAGAGAGAGAGAGAGAGAGAGAGAGAGAGAGAGAGAGAGAGATATTTTAAAAAACCTTTCGCATCAAAGGGTTTTATTAAGAAATTAAATGTTGTGGAATATTATTAAACTGGGCAAAGATGTGTTACATTTGTTGATGCTGCAGAACATTATTTTAACTATGTGAAGGTGTGTTACTTTTGTTTTCGCTGCATTTGTTTAACAATGTAAGGCTCTGTTACATTTGTCTATGCTGCATTTGTTTAATTATGAAAGAGATGTGTTGCTGTTTCACTTTGCCTGCCTAAGGTACCTGATTGGTCTAATAAAAAGCTGAACAGCCAAAAGCTAGGCAGTAGAGGGATAGGTGGGACTGGCAGGCAGAGAGAACAAGTAAGAGGAAGAATCTAGGCTCCAGAAGAGAGGGAAGAAGAGAAGAGAGAATGAAGGAGAAAGGGAGGGACATGCCTGAGGCCAGAAGCCAGGCAGCTGCCAGCCACATAGGGAGACAGTAGGAAAGTAAGATATACAGAAAGGATGAAAGGTCAAAAAGACTGAGGCAAAAGGTAGATAAAGAGAAACAGGTTAATTTAAGTTAAAAGAGCTAGCCAGGAATGAGCCTAAGCTAGGCTGAGCTTTTATAACTAATAATAAGTCTCTATGTCATAATTTGGGAGCTGGTTGGTATCCCAAGAGAAAAAGCCCGGTACAATGAAAAGACAACCTACTCCTACAGCATGGGTGAGTGTTTGTAAAGTATGTATCTAATAAAGGTTTCTTTTATGGTGATTGTTTTGTAGTACTGGAGATAAATCCCAGGGCCTTCTATATACAATGGAAATACTCTACCACCTGAATGACGTCCCCAACTCCTGCTAAGGGTTTAAATATATGAAAAACTCCAGCCAATAAGACAATCACAATGAACTAAAAAAAAGAGCAATGAATTTGAAAAGATGTTTCTCTAAAGAAGACATGCAATGTCCAGCAAGCAGCTAAAAAATTGCCCGGTATCATTTGTAATTAGATTACTAGAGAATGAAAAATGTGGGAAGAAAGGGGAAAGATGGAGAGAGGATGGCTAACTGGTACAAGGGTCAAGCTGACTAGTAAATGGTGCAGTGCCATGGAATTTAGTTAGTATGTGTTGGAGCCCACTAGGTTTCCTAGTGGCTGTACCCAGCAGGACTGCATGGGAGGTTGATTGGACCATGGACCTGCAGGTGTTTGTATGGGTCTAACTAGCAAGGTGGAGGTCTTATGCTCCACCCCTTGGCATTGTTATAAATAGACCTTTGGAATGAAGTTCTGGACCTGTTTGGATAAGGATTCAGGACCGTCTGAGTCTACTCTGTGTTTTCTCTCTGTTTCTTTACTCTTTATTTCTAACTAAGTCTCTTATCCCTCATTCCTCAAGAGTTCCTGGGGTAAATAAGTGTGGGAGCTGGTCCACCACAAGTATGCAGACACTTCTGCCCAGCAATCACATTTACAATCCTGGGTCTTCTGTCCAGTAACACTGTCTGTCAGAATCGAGGTTCTACAGATATAGACAAAAGTATCTGTTTCTGACAAAACTGGAGGATCCCAATGAAACACTGTTGAGAACATACTACACGACCACGGTCACAAAAGTGGTTGCAAACTCACAAATTCAAAGTCATTGAACCTCAGGGTCTCTCAGTTCCATAAACTCCACACCCCAAGCCCATTGTCTAGTACACACACACACACACACACACACACACACACACACACACACACACACACGTAGTCACGTAACGTGTAACTCCTCCTGCTTCTGCCAGCTACCAAGGAGTTTGTGTCTCCCCGGAGGACCACCCTCCTTGTAAAATCACGGGGAAAGCCCAGGAAAGAAACCAAAATAGCCGCTCTGTGGGTGAAAGGGGAAGTTTATTCCAAACCGCCAAAGCTGTCTCCTGGGAAAGCAAGGAGAATCAACAGGGAAAAGATTTTCAGAGTTAAACGGGAAGGAGAGAAAGGCAGCTTGTGAGCTGGGACTGAGGGAGCCTGGCATTGACCTTGGCAAGTTAAAAGGCACCATTGGCATATGTTAATGGAAGAGCCACAAGCTCCTCTTGCCAGAGATATGGAGAATGACTGCTTTTTTTTTTTTTTTTTTTTTTTGCAAGCAAGAACTTTTTTCAAGCCCCTGAGGGAATGGGGGCTTTTGTCTAAATGCCAGACCTTGAGAAAAGGGCTGCCTTGAGGGACCAGACACAATGGAACTAAATAAACTCAGCCGTGCCTTTTGCTTAGACCAGACTCTTTAACCCTGAGATTATCATAAGAAGCCAGGGCTGCTTTTCATTTGGGTGAGCGCAAGTCTCCGGCCGCGAAGGCCTCTGGGAAATGTAGTCCGGAGCAAGACAGCGGCGGACCCATTCGGATTCTTCTCACTTGCAAGCTGCGGAACCAGGGCTGTAAATGCCAGGCCGCAGGGAAGCTGCTGTTCCAAACCCGTCTAGGCCCCGTCCAGGCCTAAGCCGGTCCCCCTGCTGGAGCGCCGCGCCCTCACCTGGGCACTCTCCCAGCTCGATCATGGAAGGCCAGACCCGCCCGGCCTGCCGCGGGGCCCTCTGGGAAGTGCTACCCTGCGTCTAACGGACCCAGGTTTGTGGCGCTTCTCCCGGCCAGCCTTAGCCGTGCCGGGTCGTAGTCCCCCGGGTTGTGCGCGTTGGGTGGCAGCGGGGTGGAGGATCGCGGCCGGTGGCTGGGCTCGGCGGTGAGTCCCCAGGAAGCCGCGAGCCCGGAGGCCGGGACTCTTTGTGCTGGGTGGGAGCGAGGCCCTGTGGACCGGGGTGTGGATGGAGGAGGCGATGCCAGCGGTTTGCAGCGGCCCTGGCCTCGGCGTGATGTGGCTGTAATTTGCTTGTTGTCCTTTATGTGCCTTTACGAAATGGGTGCACATGTGCATGACTGAGATAATGAATGAATGAGAAACTCTGTGGGTGGAAGTCAGGTAGGTAGGATTGTGTGTGGAGATGTGTGAAGACCGTGTTTGAAAGAGTCGTTTGTAATTTAGTCGTTTATAATAATTGTAAGTATAATTTTGTACGAAATAGTAGTAGCCCCAACGCATGACTATTTTCGTGCATTGACAAGCTGTCTTGTGTCATTCGTCTTGCTGCCCCCACTCTATTTTCCAAATACCAAGATACAGAAAATCCCAAAGAATAAAAATTATTCAATTCTAAAAAAAAAAAAATTATTCAATTCTACTAGTCACACAGCTCTTGCCAAATATACTTCTTTACACTCTGTACACGCATTATGTGCTCATATAAAGAGCACGGTGGCCTAAGAGAGCAATCACATCATATATACAGTTCTGTAGCTTACCTCTCATTTAATAAGATATTGTTAACATATCGACATCAACAATTACAAATGTATACCATTTAAATTTTCCTTGGTATACATATATGCATCTGTCTCTTGAATAATTTGTGTCTTTTCAACCTCTTGAAGTTATAAACCAAGTTTATGAAGAACTGTTTGGCAATGCTCTGACGCATCCCCCTCCTCCCTCCTTCCTTGGGGGTAGGCTTTTAGAAGTGGAATTGATACAGTAATAATCCTTATTAAAACCTCCCTAGATCTAAACATTTGTTCCCAATGCAAGGTTCTAACATTCTACAATATTACTAAAATAATAGATGCATCTCTATTATTTCAGTAATATTGGAATAGAGATACACCCTAAATAGCAACAAATACCGTGATAATAATCCTTAACTTCATAGTTACAAAATAAAACTTAGTTTGCAGTACTTATTACCAAAATCAAGCGTTTTGTGATTTGTTTTTCTAAAGTAGTGTTCTATTTTCAGCTTTCATTTCCAGAGTTCTTCCTCTGCTGAGAATCCTTTTATAAACTGAATATTTATTGAATGTTGGATACATATCAGTCACAGTTTTTTGGTGCTTGGGATACAGCAGTGAACAAAAGAACCAACCCCTCAGCTATCATGATACTTCTATTGCCGTGGGCCCGATAATAAAGTAAGTAAACCAAGTATATCAAATGCTGAAAAATACTAAGAAAAGAAGTCAAAGAAGGAGGATATTTGGAATTAGAGATGGGAAGGAGAGTTTTAGGTGGAGTGGCCAGGGAAGGGGTATTGAGAAGGATCGATAAGGAGATGACAGTGAAAAGGAGGTAGGCGTGTATACAGCCGTGGGAGGATTGCTGCACACAGGGGCAATGCAGTTACTCGGGTTTTGGGGTTTTCTTGCCTGCTGGGATGAAAAACGCTGGTGCTGGCCCAAACAGCAAATGACCGGGAAGACTAGTGCGAGGCGCGAGAAGAAAGCTCAGTGGAGGGGAGGAGGGCAGAGGAGGTTGGGCTTTCTTGTCCTTAGTCAGGATTTTGACTTTTACCTTGAGTGAAATGGGAGGTATTTTGAACATGGGAGTAATAATAAATATATCTGCTTGATGGCAGCATTGGCTGCTCTGGTGACAGTGAACAGCTGGAAGAGGAATGCGGAAAGACCGGTTAGGAAACTTAGAATGATCTAAGGGAAAGACTTGGAGATCCAGAGCAACAGTAGTGGAAATGATGAGCGGTGCTCTCAATGCCATGCTCAAGCAGAGCTGCGGTAGTTGGATGGAAGGATGGATGCAGAATGTGGCTGCAGCAAGACTGCAGTGTTTGTTTAGTTAAGAAGTCGATTCTCTTTTTTTTTTTTTTTTTTTTTTCTGTTTTAGTTTTTTGAGACAGGATTTCTCTGAATAGTTCTGGCTGTCCTGGAATTTACTCTGTAGACCAGGCTGGCCTGGAACTCACAGAGATCTGCCTGCCTCTGCCTCCTGAGTTCTAGGATTAAAGGTGTGCACAACCACTGCCTGGCTAAGAACTTGATTTTTGAGAATGGAGGAGAATCTTCCTCAAGAAGATAGGAGATTCTGGTTTGGGATATAATATGTGAAGTATGATATGCTTGTTCAAATTGAAATGTCACATTGGCAACTATATATACAAGTGTGACATTCAAGAATTCCTAGCATTTAAATGGTACTGAAAACCAGAAGAATGAATGAGATCACTTAGAATAGATGGAAACAGATAGAGGTGAAGGACTGATTTGGGGGTTACTCTAACATTATGACATCTGAGGGATAGTAGAGAATTAATAAAAATGTCTGACAGACTAGCTAGAAAAGTCAGAGGAAACTAGGTGAATGTGATATTCTGGACACAAGGAATGAGTCCATCTTAATGAAAACTGTGTCAAACACTACAGACAGGGTACTGAAGGCCAAGAAAGAAGCGTTGAATTCATTGGTGGCTCTGAAAAACATTTCAGTGGATTATGGAGCCAAGGAGAACTAGAGAAGAAAAACGGGAGAGATCAAGTCCAGATAGCTCTTAAGAAACCCACCCCCCACACCCACTAAAAAAAAGGTGAATATGATCAAAATACACTGGATGAAAGAACTAATCAAAAACGAGGGAGGAATGTGTCTGTCCTGAACTAGAGCCTAGAGGATCAGACGGCAGAGTGTGCCTTAGCTTGGAGCATGCTCACACTGTCCCGAGGAGAGAAGGAAGAAGTCACTGGACCAGAGACAGGCCGGCAAACAGATAGCTTGGAAGCTTTTCCTCTGCAGTCCTTCAACTTTATAGCTGACTGATGGAGACCCGGCCTGACCCGCTGAGAGAGTGGAAAGAGCTGTCAGGGGTTTGAAGAGACAGCAAAGCAAACACAAAACCGGGTAATCACTTAAGCGAGCAGGGATAACGTGAAAGAGAAGCGAGGAAGGCTTCAGTTAAGTAATTGATCATATTTTCTGATTGTGGATTTTTAAAAAGTATTGTTTTTAATTTATGTGTATGGGTGTTTTGTCTGCATGTATGTCTGTGCCTCACGTGTGTGTGCAGTGTCCTTGGATCCTGTGGAACTGAAGTTATAGACAGGTAGAGCTGTGTGTGTGCTGGGAGCCCACACTGCAAGAGCAGCAAGTGCCTACCCATGGAGCCGTCTCCCGGCCCGGATGGTCAGTGCAGCAAGTCCCTACCCATGGAGCCATCGTCTCCCCGGCCCCGATGGTCAGTGCAGCACGTGCCCTACCCATGGAGCCGTCTCCCGGCCCCGATGGTCAGTGCAGCAAGTCCCTACCCATGGAGCCATCGTCTCCCCGGCCCCGATGGTCAGTGCAGCACGTGCCCTACCCATGGAGCCGTCTCCCGGCCCGGATGGTCAGTGCAGCACATGCCTACCCATGGAGCCGTCTCCCGGCCCCGATGGTCAGTGCAGCAAGTCCCTACCCATGGAGCCGTCTCCCGGCCCCGATGGTCAGTGCAGCAAGTCCCTACCCATGGAGCCGTCTCCCGGCCCCGATGGTCAGTGCAGCAAGTCCCTACCCATGGAGCCATCGTCTCCCCGGCCCAATGGTCAGTGCAGCACGTGCCCTACCCATGGAGCCGTCCCCCCGCCCCGATGGTCAGTGCAGCACGTGCCTACCCATGGAGCCGTCTCCCCGGCCCGATGGTCAGTGCAGCACGTGCCTACCCATGGAGCCGTCTCCCGGCCCCGATGGTCAGTGCAGCAAGTCCCTACCCATGGAGCCATCGTCTCCCCGGCCCAATGGTCAGTGCAGCACGTGCCCTACCCATGGAGCCGTCTCCCCGGCCCGATGGTCAGTGCAGCACGTGCCTACCTATGGAGCCGTCTTCGGCCCGGATGGTCAGTGCAGCACGTGCCTACCCATGGAGCCGTCTCCCCGGCCCCGATGGTCAGTTTTGAACTGAGCAAACAGGAGTGAGACCAGGAAGGAATAAAAGACAATGAAAAGTGGGCGGAGTCCTGAAGGGCCTGAAATAAGGTGACAGGAAGGAGATTTTTCAGTTTTGGTTGTCAGATGTCTTGTAAACGGAACAAAAGGAGCCGGACATGATGGAGGCAGGGAGATGACCAGTTTGAGGTTAGCCTGGGCTGCATGGCAAGGCTCAAAAAACAAAGGTAATAACTGGACTGTCATTGCTACTATTATTTCCTCTGCTTTTACTAACTGAAATATTTTCCTAAAGAAAAAAAAAGCCCTCATCAATTCTTTCGTTAGGGACAGCTTGTACAAGAAAGAGGGAATGAATGGACTTTTCCCTCTTTATAGCATTTAAGGACATTGTATTGGTTCTCTGTCTCCCCGCTACTACCCTCCCCGCTGCCTTTTCCAGACACGGTTTCTCTGTGCAGCCTGGTGGTCCTGGAACTCACTCTGTAGACCAGGCTGGCCTTGAACTCATGGAGATCCAGCTGGCTCTGCCTCCCAAGTGCTGGGATTAAAGGTGTGTGCCACCACCACCAGGCTTTCTCTCTCTCTCTCTCTCTCTCTCTGTGTGTGTGTGTGTGTGTGTGTGTGTGTGTGTGTGTCCATCCCTAGTTGTCTTTGTGTACATCATGTATATGCAAGTGCTTTCAGGGGCCAGAAGAGCTGTGCAGTCTCCTGGAACTAGTTACTTACAGGTGGTTGTAGCCATCCAGCGTGGGTGCTGGGAACTGAACCAGGGTCCTTTGCAAGGGCAGTACATGCTCTTAACCACTGAGCCATCTCTCCAGCCCCAGTTTTTAAATTTGCTTTTTTTTGTTTGTTTTTTTAAAAGATTAATTTTTTATTTACATAATGAGTGCTCTGTCTGCGTGGTCTCTGCATACCAGAGGAAGGCATCGAATCCCAATATAGACGGTTGTGAGCCACCATGTGGTTGCTGGGAATTGAACTCAGGACCTCTGCAAGAGCAACCAGTGCTCTTAACTGCTGAGCCATCTCTCTAGACCTTAAATTTGTTTTTTAAATAAGCAAAAATAAAGTGAAAGTTTATTTCAGGACAGCAGTGAAATAACCATATTTACCATGGTGACTTTACCTAATTTAAGTATGATATTTATTTTAGCTCATTTTTATGAGCTTGGATAAACTTTTGTTTCTATTTTGTCTTTTTTTTTGAGATGGTGGCTCTGTGTTGCACAGGCTGTCTCAGACTCAGAGCTCATGTGACCCTCCGAGGCATGGCCTGTTCAGTACTGGGACTGACTGAAGGCATTTGTGTCATAATTGCTCATTAAATTTTTATATAAAAAATAAATTTTAGAAATCAGATTTCATATAGTTTTTGTTTGCATTATTCCAAGTGTCACCTTTGTGCATAAGTTAAAACAGCATACAGTGACTTACCTTTCTCCCAGGAAGTAGTATCCATTTGACTGGAGCCTTTGTCTGTCTCTCAGAGCTCCAGGAGAGAGGATTCTGACAGGCCCTGTCAGGCCCCTTCGTTTATATCTAGCCAGGAGCGAGTGCCCAGAGTCCCTGGTTCTTGCATTTTCCCATCTCTCTATTTTCATCTGAGCTTAAAGTGGTTTTCTTGTGGACATAGATTGTTGGGAGATATTTGTTTGCATTGACACTCTGAGACTGTCAATAAAGTTTAGCTTCAAATTATCCATAGAGGTTTTGGAGGACCCAGGATACAGACTGAGAAACGCAGGAAGCAGTAGAAAGGGGCTTAGAAAGATTCATAGGCCGTTTGGATCAAGGAAGGAGAGAGAGGGGAGGCCACTGGTCACTTCTCTGCCACTTGTGTGATTCAAGGGGAACTTTATTGTGAGTCTTGAGTGTCAGTGTGAACAAATACCCCACAACAATAGGTAGGTAGGTCATGGACAGCTCTGTCTTGTGTGTTGAGATTAACAACACTTCCCTCGGTAGTGGGCTAACATCCACCACCTTCCTAATTGTTGAGATTAACAACACTTCCCTCGGTAGTGGGCTAACATCCACCACCTTCCTAATTGTTGAGATTAACAACACTTCCTTTGGTGGTAGGCTAACATCCACTACCTTCCTAATTGTGCTTGTCTGTTCTTTGGCCCCTGGGTTTTTTTTTTTTTTTTAAGATCTATTATTTATTATGTACACAGTGTTCTGTCTGCATGTGTCAGAAGAGGGCACCAGGTTTCTTTATAGATGGTTCTGAGCCATCATGTGGTTGCTGGAAATT